CTCTTGCCTTTAATCCATCTCTCCATTAATTTTCCACATTCATCTGTGGAAATGTCTGCCTCCTAGTAAAAGACTAATCAGGGGGACCCTCCACTGGAGAACTTATGTATACTTAGGAAAAAGCATGAGTGTTTTCACAGAAATACAAAATCATTTAGAGAGTTTGTGCTATTTTGTTACAAATACTGAAATTATCCTTTTTTTCTGGCTTGAACAAATTTCTGTATAGATTGAATACTGAATTTGTCACAAGTTTGTTCTGAGAGACTTCTGTACTTACAAACAGATACTGCGAATTGCTACATACTATGTAAAAGCTTAAACAATGCTTGCAGATGAAGAAGGGTGGTTGTAGTAAAAGAGAAGAAAATAAGCCATTTTGTTTTCTTTAGGAATAAACTTTGATACCCAATCTATGTACTGCTGATGAAATAAATTCTGTACAGCACAGTATATATATATTTTTCCTGCATATCAGTATTCTCACTGTAGGAAAAATATGAATCGGCCCTTGAATCAGAGAATAATAACAGGCCTGCGCTATGTATTCCAAGGAGCCTACAGATAATCCTTGGGTTACATCCATTTGTTCAGTGACTGTTCAAAGTTATGGCATTGAAAAAATGGGCTTATGATGGGTCCTCAAAGTTGGGCTGTTGCAGGGTCCCCGCGGTCACGTGATCAAAATTTGGGTGTCTGGCGACTAGCCCGCATTTACAACCATCACAGCATTCCATGGTCATGTTCTGCCCTGTGCAAACTACTCCATTTGAACTCCCCCACCCGCCTGTCTCCCCCCCCATCTCTGCTCTTTGGCCACCCTGCATAGCATGGCCAAGATGAAGAGGCCGCTGTATTCCACTATCACCACCACCCAGCTGACCTTCGCCTCGCCTCGCCTCCACTGGTCTCACCACCGTCGCTGCCTCCCTGGCTGCTTGGCTCCTGGCGGGCTGCCCTGCTTAAGTAGTCTCAGCCCACCTCCGGTTGAGGGTCATGCTGATGCACTGCCTCAACTCCGGTGCCCAGTTGCAAAAGTCCCAGTGCAACCAGCTGTCCACAGCAGCTTCTGCTTCTTCTCCTGGTTCTGCTTCTCCCTGTGAAGAGCCACCACCAACATGTGAGGCAGGAGTGAACGGTAACCAGGTAGACCTAGGGCACGTGCTGAGACCTTTGGGACAACTGCAGCTGCAGCTCCACCTCTGCAACCTACCACTCCCTACTCTGGTCCTAGGGTGCGTCATGCGCTCTGCTTTGGGAGTTCCTGCCTACAAAGGAGCCACGTGGTCTGGGTCTGCCGCAGCTCACAATCCCCATGGTGAAGTTTGGCTGAGCTGGCCAGGATTTGGGTGGGAGAAGTTTTTCAGGACTTTGGCCGTAGGAGAGGCTGCGCCTCCCTGACTAGGCTGCGGTTGGGCTGGGTGGGGACGGAGGCGAAGATGGCAATGAAGATCATCTCGGGGTAGTGGCAGTGGAATACAGTGGCTTCATCTTGGCCATGCTGTGCAGGGTGGTCAAAAGGGCAGAGATAGGGGGATACGTGGGGGGAGGGTCGAAGTGGAAGCAGTTTGCACAGGGCAGAAGAAATGTGCGGTCCTAGCCTAACAACCTCAACCTAGACTGCTGGGACTCCCATTGCTAAGCACATGGTCACGTGATGTTTCACTTAACCACCACTTCCCTTAGCAATGGAAATTCTGGTCCCAATTATGGTTGTAACCTGAAGACTACCTATATATTTGAAATAAAATATTTTAAAAAGAAACATTTGATAATTAATTAGAAGTGTGTGTGTATGTACAAAAGAAATGCTTATACATTTATTCTTGAGAAAGAATGAGGCTGGTGATACTCAGCTGACCAAGGTTTAGTGGATCATCCAAGTGCTTTTGTTAATATTAGATTGACTTGTACTGCAAAACCCAGGCTATCTAGCAACAAAAAATTGAAACTAAGAGATGAAATTTAAAGCTACTGCACAAGTTTCTTTTTCCAACTACAAGCTAATTTGTAAATAAAGGGATGTTGAATAGCTTTTTAATTCTCCATTGAAGGGAGAGTGATTACTTAATGATGAATTCTGATGTCAGTTTACAGGCAGTCCTTGTTTAGTGATTGCTTCATACAGTGACTGTTCGCAGTGACTACAGTGATGAAAAAGTAACTTTGCAACCAATCCTCGCATTTACGACCTTCACAGGTCAGTAAAGCAAAGGAAAGTTGAAGTAAGATCATAAGCAAAGTTGTCTACTTCGCTTAACAACGGAGTTGCTGGTTCCGATTATGGTCACTAAACAAAAACTACCTTTGTATACCACTTTTCCATCATAAAAAGAATATTATTGGTGCCTTTCAGATACTGAATACCATATGATTTTTATAATATGAAAGCTTTTAATCCATTTGTAAAAGATTAACAGAAAACTCTGCTCATCAGCAGAAGGACAAGGAAAACTAAATTCTGGTAGAAACAATAAAATTAAGAAAAAGTATAATAAAGATAAAAGGCATTTATGTAGAGAGGTAGGCTTGTCAAAATTTGAAATAATCTGGCATTGCTCTCCTAAGGACATTTATATGGCACACATGAAAGATTTATAAAATATAATTCTGGATATTTAGATTGTTTTTTGGACTGCAGAATACAAAGCATAGATTTTTAAGAAATGTAAAGAAGAATGGCATTAATGAAAATGCTGTTCCTTAGAGTTACATAAATGTTTCAATTAATATTAGTATTACTTTTTAAATTCCTTGCAATGTTTTTGTTTACGGCTGCTTGCCAGAACAGGGCTTGGAAGGGGATCCTGGCCACATTATTTGCAGGCAGGTTTAATTTCTGGCATTTTGAGGGACAGCTGGCAAAGTAGTCTGTGACCCTGGAAAGATGCTGCCAAGTGCAGATGATTCAGAGCTAGATGGACCAGTTTCAATTTAGTGCAATTTCACTGTTCAGTATAGTATAGATAAAGGTAATCCTCTTCAGGCATTGATTTGAACCAGTGGCAAAGAAACTGGTACAGAGCGGAGCTGTGCATACAGCTCTACTCTGTACTTTTCCTGACCTCCATGTGTTCAATTAGGAATTATGGAGAAGAGTGTGTTTGTGTTGGCTCGAATGCTCCTAAAAGGTCTTGGCATGATCTGGGTGCTGAATGAAGCAAGGTACCAAATTCCATTGATAGCTGTATCTGGTTTCAGTCCAACCCAAGCACAGGGCTCCTTCAGCCCTCCTGAGTTCTTGAAAACATTAAATCTTTTAGTAATATATGCAAAAGCTATTCCTTAGGAAAGGATGTTTGGAAGCACAAGAAACACCCCCTCTCCTGTTATTCTTCCAAATCTACCATATGTGCTATTAAACCATGGATTCCTCCCTGCCCCCTCAGTTAAATTAGATCAGACTCTGACTCAGATAAGATAAAGGGTGTTTCTTAGTCTGTGTCGTCCTCTCTTATTTCATTAATAGAATCATTCTCTCTTATTTCATTAATAAAGGTTCACCTCCTTAGCAAACATGCTTTACGTGTTGATTAGTGATGACAACGTTGTTCAGGAAGCAGTCCTTTAAAATATAAGTTGCTCAAATCAAGTCTACCAGAAAGGGCAGCCTGTTTGGCTTTTGGCATTGAAGACAGTGCCACCAGGAGGCCAGATTAAGGCCGCGGTTGCACATAAAAAGTTAACAACAGCTAATGTTGTACAAATGGTACAGTAAATTGTACTGGCTCCTTGAAAGTGGTGCATAAGTTTTTTTCAGCATTGTTGCTCTGTTGTCTTGTTGTAGCTATTCATTGTCATGAAGCACAGTTTTCAAAGAAAAAAGATAATTAGAATAAAGCAGTAATTTGAACCCTAGCTTTTAACAAGTTTAGGACCGAGAGGCTTTTTCTTCATTTTGACAGTGAAAATAGTTCTTGGTATTTTCATGGAAACCATATAGTGTCATTTTTCTTAATGGCAATTTTCACCTTTCACAAGAGAAATTGTGGGACAAGGATTGATATAAATCTTGCACTATAAGAACTCTCCAAAACTGAAGCATAACTTCCAACTCTATGCTGGGCTTAGGACTCTGCCTGCTGATGCAGTGATTCAGAAAAGGTGCTTAGTACATGACAGAGGACAGGTGAGCCTCTCCGTAAAGCAGCCGTATCATTTTTCAGGTTTGTGTGGAAGCCAAACTAAAGACATGGTTGCATCCTTAGCCCCAGTTGCACATTCAGTGACTTTGGGTCACTCACACTTTCCCAGCCCAGCCTACCTCACAAGGTTGTTGGGGGGAAAAATAGGAAGAGAAAGCAGTATGTCCATCATCTTGAGCTCCTGAATGAAAAGGTGGGATATAAATTGAATATATAATAAATATAAAATACATTTGGATTCCCCTTCCACTGATGTCCAGCAGGCGCCTACCCTCCTAGTCATCTGAAAAGCCTTGAAGACCTGGCTTTTTCCACAAGTATTGGGGTGGTGTATGGCCTGAGCCAAGGAAAGTCATTTGTTGGATGTGAGGGGTGTGTCGCTTTTTATGCTGGTTTTTATATTTACTATTGTTTATAAGCTGCCCAGGATTGTGTTACATAACATGAGCAGCTATATAAATCTATGAATGAATGAATGAATGAATGAATGAATGAATGAATGAATGAATGAATGATCTTAAAATAAAATGAAGGCATACTTTTACCTACAAATTTACCAAAGTTAGTAGAATAGCAATAGCATCTTCCATACTGAAGCAGCCTTGGAGTGGCTCAAGTTAGGTCTAAGAGCCATGCTTGCAAATATCATTTGGACCCAGTATTTGCAGTCCTCCAACAGCAAGGGACTTGCAGCAATACTTCCAAGGTAACAAGAGAAGATCTGCATTACGGAAAAATAGTCCATGCTGTCACTCCTTTACACAGTTGCAGACCTCAGGCAATGAGGTTAATTAACGTATGAACGTTCCATGCTGTCAGAGTAACCCGTCGGTCAGATTGCAGATGATAAACGAAATGATGTTCAACTTACCTGCTCTGTGTACATCATCTGGATTGATAGTATTTTGCTTTGTGCTTTCCAGAGAAAAGAAACTGAAAGCCAGAGTGCAGGAGTTGGTGAGTGCCTTAGAAAGACTAACCAAGAGCAGCGAAATTCGGCATCAGCAGTCTGCAGAGTTTGTTAATGACTTGAAAAGAGCAAACAGGTAAAGGTTCCTCCAGTCAGTGATAACATACCGTACATTGAGCTGAGCTCACGTTATGTTTTTTGCTATGCTTGCTGTGAACCAGTATGTGGAGTGTACATGACTGTGAATGTACTAACAGAATGGTGGGGTTATGCTTGGAGCAGAGTAGAGCTGTGTAGCCAGGTGGGATTGAAAAGTTGGTGGGGGGTCCTATCCAGTATGTCAGCAAATCAGTATCTATTTAAGATGCTGCCAGTCAGAATGGATGTGTAGATGTGATTACCTTGACCTTCCATTACTGTATTTCCAATAGTAACCTTGTGGCTGCCTATGAGAAGGCAAAGAAGAAGCACCAAAACAAGCTGAAGAAACTGGAATCCCAGATGATGGCAATGGTGGAAAGACATGAGACTCAAGTCAGGATGCTCAAACAAAGAATTGCTTTGCTGGAAGAAGAGAACTCAAGACCCCATACCAATGAAACATCACTTTAAGAGATACTTGTTTTCTTTTAATCGATGTGCCATTACAAAAATGACTCCTTACAAAACTCATTGAGATGGTAAACACAGATGTGAATCGATTACAAACCAGGCAAAGTTGGAGATCAGTACCTCAGAGAGAGATTGCAACTTCGACAATACACAGCCATGGGCAGGAGCCCCAAAAGAAGTATGTTTGAATAGTTGAGCATACTCAGTGCCTGATGGTAAATGTATCAGTTTATCACGTTTCCATGTAATAATTTTACTTGATATTATTGCAGATTTTTTAAATTTCAAATTTGTATGAGTAAGTATATTCTTCTGCTCTTATTCATTGAACATTCTCTTTGGAGTCTACCATAATGATGAGGCAATGCTAAACAGCAGTGTACGCATAACTTTCATTTGGATAATAGTATTTCTTTTCCCATTTTCTTCTGCCATTCATTCTGCATTTCCCCCTTACAATGAAAAGCAGGTATCCGTAGCCAGCCTCTGGGTAGACAGCAGGTCAAACATTAGCACACAATTGGCTTTTAGGGGATAAAA